CCAACTTGTACCACGTGAGTACACTTATATTATTTTACTATAGCTATTAAATATACCCTTATTAAGATATACAACATATCATCAGACTAACCTATATTTTGTGCAACATTAAAGACACCAAACATTCAGGAGTTTCAGTTCGGTACATTTTCTTTTATCTAAAATACAACAGATAACGTAGGAGCGGAAACACAAAGGAAGTTATGACCGTTGTTTAAATCGATCGAGGGAATCAGCATTCTGCTCACGCGGATAGCACACCGACGGTCAAAACAAATTAATGCAAAGTGCACTTGCTTAAGATACGATCAAACTACCTCCTCACCTAAACATAGAGCCAACGTAACGGCGACGGCACGTAGACGCTCTCGAATTAAGATAATGGATTCAAGAGCAGCCTCTGACGGAACAATTAACTTAATGAATATGCGGGCGGTCTATGTGTTCTCGGCAAACACGCGCCCGTTCCGAATGTCTGTCTGTTCATACATAATAAGTTCCAGTGGACATGTGCTACGTTCATGACCTCCAATTAAATGAAGCTGTGTATGCTGATGTAGCAATTTGGCACTCGCCGATATGATACAAAGTTACTATTTCTAAAATCTAGTAAAAAAAAGCTACTAAACCCTTTGCTAAACCGCAAACTCGGTTCAACAGTAACCGCAATTATTATTTTTGTTTTTTTTTTGTCGTATAAAAATATTATCAGATTTTTTTAAATTTACTAATATTTTATGTATTATACCATTCCAAGTAAGCTCTTGGCTTGTGATACAATAGTCGAATGGCGAGATTCAAATTCTCGACCACGTGATCGGAAATCCGTACGATTAACGATTAGGCTATTGGCGCTCTAAAAATATAAATTAATAAAACATTTGAATAGAAGTTTTTAATAAATAAAATGAAAACTTTGAGTTTAAGACTAGGCAACAAAGTTTCCCACAAAATTTTGAAGGTCAATAAAACTTCTATCTAATTCTCTATAAGTCTATTAGTGTAGCATCAATCAGTGCTCTATCCAGATTATTTAATTGTGATATTGAGTTGCAGAAGTGCTCTTGATGGGTCGCTTCCTTCATCACAATAAGTAAAATAATCAGAGCAAGAGAACGACGTGGCTTAGTCCACTCTAATTGGGTAATTGGTCTACTAATAAAGTATCAGGAGGTCAGTGGACGAGACTGTTTGTATATCCTATTTGCTGTCGCCTGCGACTTCGGCCGCGCAGAATGAAAAAACATAATTAATAGCCTATGTGTTCTTTCAGACTATATTCTATATGCATACAAAAGTTCATCGAGATCCATCCATGTAAACATTCGCATTAGAAAAATTTAGAACATAACAACATGTTGGTATACAAGTGTTTTTACAATGGAAACCCATAGTAAGTAAACTTAAGCATCTTTTGGAATAAGACACTTCAAATGACTCTTAATTAATATTCAGAATGTTTGACAAATAAAGAAACTGCGATCAATTGAATTCAAGAAACTCGGAATAAGAGTAAAAAATATTCCAAATACCTCGTAATAAAAGCACCGGAAAATGTGATTGTTGTTTTGTATTCGTTTATATTTATCCCAATTAGTGCAGCAAGATGACAAATGTGTTCAGTTAAAAGTTAACTTTGAACTCGATGTACACTCCGTCTGAATTATGTACGAGATATTTCTGCACAGAGTATTTACACTATAGAGATAATATTATTTAAAACAATTTAAATTGGCAATTTTTTTCCTGCTCATTTGAATTAATTGATCTGCGCTATTGTTTACAATATACGAATCTTTAAATTGCCTAATTAAATTTCAATAATTGCAAAACTAATATTGCAAAATTAAAGGAAAGGGCAAGATAATTATAGAAATTTCAATGGATATTGGAAGTTTCTTTTTAAATTAAATAAACTTTTCAATTGAAAATATATTTTACTATTACATCGTAACTATTAAAGAAGATTTTGATGGTACGATCGAATTCTAATGGAGAATCATGTTCACAACTCTTGTCGACATTATATTATCCTAGCTACTAAAACAACTAAAGGCCACACACAACTGTAATATATTATATGTATAATTTATTGAGCAATATATTTTACTGTAACGAAGTTACTCTGTGCTTTTGAATAATGTCGTGTTACAGAAATAACACTTTGATTTGTTACTTAAAGATATGCGCATTCTCTGCAAACGTGACGACTACGACACGACAGTCCCAAAATCGTAATTCGTGGTTAAAATGAATAAATCTAAAAGTTTTATTCCAAAACTGTGTCAGCTAGTGAAACTACGAGTATCAACATAAATGTATCGATGGATTCGGTTTGATAAATAAATTATGAAAGATCTATTCAATAGATATTCCAATCTTCTTTTCTTTTAAAATCTGTGAGCGCAGCGTTAAGGCGACCTCAACCGAAATTTTTTCTTAAAAAATATAAACTGACATAAAAATCGTAAAGTGTAAATACAAGTGATGTTTGATGAGCTGTATTGCACTAAAGGTTTGAAAGATTACGTTTATTGGGTGGTCGGATGCTATAATGAGGTTTTTGATGTACTTTATTTTTATACAGCACTTAAGGTACGAGCTCTCCGTAGGTCAAGGATCCATAGCCTCCGACATCAGAGATGACGACTATTGTGTTTCTATAGGGATATTCAATATTTATGTCAGTTGAAAGATGCACGATGTAAATAAGATTCACAAAGAACATTCTGGAATTTTTATAATCAATATCTAACAAATACTTTTAAATCATTATGTTGTGTCTCAAAGCCTCTCGATAATTTAGCCATGTGTCTTAAAAATATCCAATCACTTTTTTATTATAATTTTGGATATTCAAATGAATTACACGCTAGATACATAAAAATGTACCCCCTTATCCTGGCTTTCCCAGGATCTATTTGTTTCTTTTTACTGTGTCGCGACCGTAAGGAGTCATTTTGTAGAATTGAAGCTATAAACATGTCGCACGCTCCGATAGTCTGCCATGAATATTAATCCATGTTGTTAAATATTTACGATAACGCCGCTTAGGGTGACTATGTAAGCTATTTTAAGAATAACCTTTTAGAGTATGCAGTATGATTTTTTTGTGTCAAATCGAAGCATATAACTGGGTCTTTTAATAGACAAATCGATTGAAGACCGATGACACTGTGCTGCTATTGATGGGTGTAAAATTATAAAATTAACACTCTACGACATTATCAACTCTCTATACGTCCCCACTGATCCTATCCAAGTTTAGGTATGACTAAGCCATAGTCAACCGTGCTGTTTACCGTAAGAACGTCGCATATATGTATAGAATGTATAGTATATGGAATTCAGTAAAATAGTTTATGGGAGAGTCTATTACTTGTGATATTGATGGTGATACGAGTTAATGGACCGTCATATCGGCCACACTTCTTTTTACCGTGCACATTAAAACGAGTGCTCTCAGCGATTGGAGACTGACTGCTATAAAACTACTCTCTCACTCCTTTTGTCATTCGACGTCTGTGACTTTTAATTTAAAATCTTAATGACTTTTAGCTTTAATTAAGCGCTACTTAAATTGTATTTTAGTAACATGTAACATATGTTTCTTTGGTTTGAAATGTTTTGTATGTACTTTGTTTCTCTAAACTAAGCTAGAGTTTCATTGTCTCATTTATGCAGTATCTAGTTTCATAGAAAAAAGTATTAGCTTGTTTTTTATTCTATTGAGAGTAATAATGTCAAAGTTGATATAAAATAGCATCGTACGGCCTAAGTGAGATTAAATGCATGCCCCAGTTCGCTTGACTTATTTTGAAGTCGTACAAGTTTGTCTTAACATGGAAAGAAAACTTTTCTGTTGTATCAAAAAGTGTGACATCGTTAAAGTTTTTAATTTAATTTACACTGTCGTTTATTAAGTTACGACAATATGCATTGTAACAGTTTTGTTACTCTCCATCTGCAGTTTTATTGTAGATAATATTTTTGTATATTTCTATGTTTATATGATATTTACTTCATTGTTCAATCTGTGGGGTTAGCACGAACAATTGCGACAAGCGCCTTGAGTATAGCGCGATTTTTGGTGTACTTTCCACCCGACAAGGGCGCAGCACAAATTTTGTTAATGGCGATAAGATGGCGCTTGTCACAAACAGTCGCGCTAGATTCATTGAAAAAAACGCTTCGATTCTTTTCATGTCCTCTTCTATAGATAGTTGTTTCCTATAGCTGGTTTATTATAAATTAATATAAAGGTATATCTTACTAATATATAAATGCGAATGTTTGGTTGTATAGATGTATGTCCAGATCTGCTGCATGGATCTCGCTGAAATTTGGCATAGATGTAGTGCACAGTCTGGAATAACTTACAATTTTTTATAATTCCGTGCGGACAGAGTCGCGAGATAGAGTTGTTTAAAAATAAAACTCATAAAGTGTATATTTATTGTTTAATAAAATATCACAGTTTTAATTTACAATATTTATTTACAGTCACTACGATTTTTTTAACATTTACATAATATAAAATACTTATATATTGGCAGTTTAATAAATGCGTACGTTTTCTCATTTTAATAGTAATTACTTGTTTATGAATTATATTCAGTCTTTAACAGAATGTAAAGTGAGAATTTATTTTCAAGAATAACAGGCTTTAAATAATTAGCAAATATTTATATTTACATTTTAATATTATAAAACTTAAAATAGATTAAAATTAATTATAAAAACCCGGAGCCGGAGCACTGATAAATATTTTCAAGAAATACTAAAAAAACATTTTATTGATATTTAAAATAATAAATATTATATAAAATGATGAGACAATTGTAATTTAAAAATAAAACCTTTTAAGTTTTTTGTTTTTATTTGAAAAACGAACAAAAATAGCATTTAAAAAGAAATTCAATATATTTTATTTATAAAATTCAAATAATATGCAAGGAACGTATTTATTCCATATTTTAAATGTAAGCACGATCTTTAAATGTATACGTGTGAGATAGTTTTTAATATGTTTCTTTTTAATACACGTTAAAAAACACAAAATCAGATGTGGAACTTTCAAACTGATTTATAGCATTAAATATTCTTTACAATAAAACTTGTAACTTTACCCTCATATTTTTATCGTAAACACAAATCCAAAACAATTGAAGTATAACACAATAACCAAACTAACTTTACACCAATATTTTAAACACAAATAAAAGACAGAATAATTTAATAACCGCCATCCATACTCAGAGTGCACAAATGATTAATTAAACAATGCCTTTATCTCTGAGTGAGACCGTGAGTGTGACAGTTTACATTAGGAAGGCTTACTTTACAATAGTTAGGCATATCTTATCTCTGTAGGTGGTGTCGAGCGAGGTGGTGGGCAGAGTGACCGCCACGTCCACCTTGGAGTGCGAGGTGGGCGATGACGTCACCAGCTCCGCCAGCTGCGAGGAGGAACACTCGCTGGAGCGTGACGTCATAGTCCGCGCTGGAACACAAATCACTATCAACAAAATGTCAGGGATGGAATATTGAAGTGTGCGGCGTGTCAGTTGTGGTAACTCACAGTTTGTGTAGCAGCTGGATGCGGAGTCGCCGGAGGGGCTGTAGGGCTTCATCTCGTAGTGGTTGCTGCCGGCTGAAGATTGCTGTCGGCTGCGGTGGCCGAACGGTGACGCGTAACTAACACACAACGTTAATAAGCTTTCGCTACTGAGCAATGACGACTTGATAAAGATTGAATAGAATACTATAAGCTTCCTTTAAAATCAACTACTTATTATATAATACTAACCAATATTACATTAAGGCTGCATATTTATCGTAATAAACATTTTAGTGTAACTCATAGATGTAAAATAAAAAATAAAATCTTAATACCATAAAAGATTTAAGACCAAAGTTATATATTATAATTTATTTCTAGTAACACGCATTTTCCTTTAGTAAAAAGCTATGCATATAAAAAAACCTAATCGACGAGTTATATACGATGTTACTATAACATACTACAACATCCCGGTACAAGAAAAACCGAACTAAACGGATGCGCTTGCTAATAAACATCACGAGCGAAGCCGAGCAGACAAGCAAACAATGTGTCACATCACAGACTATATTAATAGCCAAATGTCAGTTGTCCAACGTCAAACATGGACACGTGGACATCAAAAAGAAAATTATAATTTGATTGTTCCGTTGCAGATGAATTCGAATTAGTTATTTTTTAATTTCACAGATTACGTCATGCTTTACTCATTCTCTTAACTTCTTTTTTTATTTTAAGAATATTTTTTATTGTTGACTGTTGCAGAATAAAACAATCTAGTTCCTTTTTTAAATAGACTTAAATTAAAAAAATAAAAAAGCTACATTCGTAACAATATCTCATTCGCAAGTAGGTCGTAGTTGCCGCAATACCCATTCTCGCTGCGCAGAAAATTATTTTTACTTGTTCTAGAATAATCGTTATTTTGTCGACTAATTAGAACGCGCTCAGTTACAATTATTCCAATTGTTTTTACGCGCAACTTAAATAATAATCACAATTTTACAAAACAAATATGGTCTCATAATTTAAAACAAAAAACTACGTAATTATATTATTTTCTTTCAACGAAAGATGTCAAAAAAACATACGAATTCTAAAACAGCAAGCTCTTTAAATGGATAGGCGATTACTTCGAGGTGACAGATTTTACTTTGTTCCGATTTAGACGCGCATGTTGATGTTACGTGACAGTTAATTCTATCTATATCATTAGTTGGAATCCACACCACCGCTACCATCAGCGCCAAAATGGTGTAAATCAAATACGCACAAAATACTACGTCGTATAGCCAGTCCATTTATAGAGGTCAGTGTGAAGCAGGCATATCGAAGTAGACTCCTTACCTCGTGGATTACTGTTTGGTGTGTAGTGTTACTTTGTGTTTACTGACCTGTCTCTAAGCTGAGGCATGTCGTAGTGGTTGTCGGGCCTCTGCATCCAGTACTCGTTGCAGGTCCGCGTTAGATCCGGAGCGGCGTTGCTCTTGTCCCGACCGCTGTACTTCGGTACACCTGGGTGCACTGACATCGTCAATTTAATGAAGAAATACTCCAGATCAAATATTGAAATTGATTGAATCTGTAGAAAGATTATCTCCAACTGGGAGAACGGTTCATAGATTAAACTGTCGTAGACAGAGTTGCTTAATGCTTATTTAAATAGTTGCTTAGTCTTATCATCCTTAATCTATATTTAAGAATATCTTTATTAGCTTTTCATGATTCTGAGTGTGGTTATACCTGTCCTAGCGGCGGTGTACCCGGGCCTGGCGGCGCGGTACCGGCACCACACGTACAACACGGCAGCGCCCGCCGCCAACATGGCGACTGTTATCCCGATGCCCACGTACAGGGTCACATTGTTCTTGTATATACCTAAAAGTTTATCTATCACTCAAATTACTTTAATCTTACATTTATAATGAGTTAAAGAAACTGAGACACAGTAATATTGATGTGGTCATTTTTTACACTTCTAATAATAGCTGGCCATTAAAAAAAACAAATAAACGATTACAGATTATGAAAATAGAACATTGCGTTCGCGTTTTATTCTTTTTAAAATTTTTAGAGCGTCACTTGTTTTGTAATTAAGGGTTAGTTAGTGATGTGACTAACGCATCGCGGCGGCGCAGAGTCCCTCCCTGCAGGCGGCGTGCTGCGCTGCGGGCCCGGCGCAGCTGCCGGCGCACTGCCGCCGTCGAGACCGCGCGCACTCCGCGCTGCACGCAGACCATGCGCCCCATGGCGACCAACTGTCTAACGATATTAATACGTTATTATACATCCAACCGACGTAGTGTAATGTAAGTGCTTAAACCACTGTCTTGTTACAATATTATTCACGTTCAAATAGTGGTACTTACTGGTCTGACATCTGGCACAGTCCTCATCGCCCTGTGTTGCCTGTCCGCGGCAGTGTGCGCCACCGTTTGCCGGGGCTGGCTCGCTGCAGGTGCGGCTCCGACGCCGGCCTGACCCGCATCTGCACGGCGACCATGCCGACCAATCCGACCAACCGCCATTTACTACACAAATTTATTTACGTGAGAATACATCTCTGGTATATCTTTCACTTCTTGTCGTATCTATTCCTTAGGTGTCCTTAAAATACCGTTGTTTTTATCATTGTACCTAACTTGAACGCGTGCAAATTTGAACAATCGAGGCATGTAATTTATATAGTGCAATAAAAAAGACACTAAAACTGACTACATAACACCACTAGTTAAATACTCCATGATTCTCTTTACTTTGCACAGTTCCTTGTAACAAAGCATGCGGTATAAGGATTCAATATTTTATCAGTGGACAGCGACAGGAACACTGCGGGACAGACAGACACGCGAGCGCTGCGGAGTGTAAATCAAAGCGAATGCAGTACGTACCATACACGGACAGCACAGCCACATCTGACTCGCGACGTCCTGCAATATTCTCTGCTATACAAGTGTAGTTGGCTATATCCTACACAGAAAAAAAAACACTACTGTAGTTAATATTAGATTTACTCATTAAAAACATGTGCCCTGTGCCACGTGTACCCTGTTTGACCAGAAATTTCCTTAAAACAGTAGTAGAAAAAGCATCTACAATTTGTCTCATTTTACGACAGCGAAATTATTATTGAATCACGTAAGGTTAAATCTTAGAGTTAAATCTCAAGGTCAATCAAGGTAAAGGTAAGAATTTGTATTTGCTTACTTGTAGGCCAACTTTAGGCAGTACTAAAGTCTCGTCTGTTGCTTCTATGGTGACGCCGTTCCTCGTCCACTTGATGGTAGCGGGCGGAGCGGCGGGCGGTGGCCCGCAGCGGAACATCACCTGCCGCCCGGCCTCCACTGTCGCCGACTGTGGCTGTTGCGCGAATTGTTTCTTTATATCTGTGCAATAGAGTTCATTATATATTACTTGTGTAAGGTATGTTTAATACAATTTTTTTCATTTACATGTAATGCATAAACATTGTACACATGTTAATATGCTACTATGTATAAGATATAAACTTGCATTAGCGCAAAGAGAAACCTTCAACGCAATGTAAGTTAACATAATTGCAAACTCATAAAATTACACGGCAACTCATTAAGTTTAATGCTGATAAAGAGGAGTATTAAACATTTTCTTTTTAAGTAAACATAAAGACCCATTATCAATCATAATTAAAAGTAAATTATATTTTAGGATCAAAGAAATAACAAGTATTTTATATTTAGATCAATAGATATTCCTCTCTTCTTTCAAGCTAAGTGTCAATTTTACATTTAATAAAACCCAAAAACTTATCCAACAACCTATTTTGATTATCGCGTAGTTATGGCATACGTAATTCGAAGACGATAATGTCGATTAAAATTGAGTGAAGTTCGAGACGACCCATTTATGCCGCGCCGCTGCGACTCCGCGACGTCGACCTCGCCCGAAACATCCAAAATAAAAGCTAGTGAGCATTTATCAAATGGCAAAGTGCTCGACTTAACGAGCGGAAATAATGTTTCCTCTATTTAATGGTTCCGTTTCATACCGACCCCTCCGAAGACGCGGGATGATAGAGTAAAAAACAACTCGTTAAAAATTATTACATTTCTTCTTTTTTAAAACGCTTACTCGAGAAAAGGTTGAGAACACCGACGCATAACTACACCCGCTCTTATCTGTGCACGTAAAATTTTACGATTTTCTTGATTTTTTAATCTTTACTTAAACCGTTTTATGTTGTTCTTTTAAAGAGGCATTTTTTTATTCTTTAACTTTCATTCTTTTTTTGTGACAATTTACTCTTATTATTGTATAAAAATGGAATCTTATTTACGATTTGACTAATAACTAAATTAATAAGGCTTTTTAGAGGGGTTGTTATTTAATTAATGTATTCTCAAATATGTAAAAAAAATCTTAAACGCTTCTTTAAACGTACGAAAACAAACATTATTTATGTTTAGTAAACGCTTTCTAATAAATTACAACACTGTCTTGACGCGGATAAATAATTGCTACGCATCTCAATGCTGTGAGTTAATTAAAACATTTTTCGTCGCGACTGTACCGCATTATACGTATACTGACATTGACGCCCCACTCCCTAAAGCGTGGGGCATCTATTTGTATACAATGGGACACGCTTAATTGTTTCCAAACCCCATACCTATCGAGCTATATGAAGATATGTCAAACAAAGAATTCTAATAACTCAAAAAACAAAAATACATGTACCAAAATGGAGCTAATTTGAGTAGAAACTTTTTTGAAAAATAAAAAGAAAATTACCAATTATCAACTATACTTACTGTTCATAAAACTAAAGCGTGCCCGAGGCCTAGTTATAGTCCTCTTTTCCTTTCCACCGTTTTTATAAAGAAAGGATGAGAAGTTGATTTGACGGAGAAAGTGACTTTTGCACTGCAGATATCTGAGGGTAGCGCTCGCTTCGCTATTTCGGCGAATCCAGGGGGCCGTTTACTCTTTTTCCACCATATAACATTTAAAAAAAAAAATATACGATGTCGTGGATCACTGGTTGCAAATACATATTCAACTCCATTTACAAATTAAAAAAAAATGCATTGTGATACATGAAACGCTTTTTTTTTCAAATTAAATCAATAAAACCGGCCAGTATTCATGAGAAATGAATTTAAAGATGGAAGCCCGTTGTATAAACTCATTCTCACATTCATTATTATGTTGCGCTTCATTAGTTCGCATATCTTAAGTCAACTTTAATGTGTGAAACATGTATGGGTTTTTCATTAGCTAACTTTGAGATAAGTTTTTCACAGGAACACACAAAGCTATCAATTCTACTTACTTTAAAATTACTTCCATATTGTACAATATTTATTACATAGTACATTCTTAAAACAGAGTGAAGAAAGAAACATCATGCTCATTTTGTATCCGTTTTTATTAGCTTTTCCCGCGACTCCGTCCGTGCGGAATTAAGAAGACTCCCAAGTGTGTATGCATTCTTCGAGACTATGTTTTACATCAGTGCCAAATGTCATCAAACTGCATTGAGCCGTTTTAAAGATACGTTCCAACAAACATCCATTTAAGCATACATCCATCCAAACATTCGCATGAATGTAAGTAATTGAACTTTTTTATAAGTACCTGTCTTAAAAGAGAACCAATGACGTCATAATAAAGTCTGTATTTATAACACCCGATTACAATATTTATCGTAATAGTAGTAAAGTAGAAATCAATGATGTATCCGATAAACAAAATGACATAAATAGCACTAAGAGAAGCCTGCCTCTCCCGTTACCTGACCAAGTTTGCTGTAGTTAATTCCGCGGACAAGAACATGACAATAATTACGCGTTTTACATAAATAAATAATAAACTACATTCGTGGTTACGTAATGATAGAATTAGCATATAGATCCCCTCACTCGGGAAGCTGTGGGTAAGTTCTAGCACAGAGTTAAACATTAAGATGCCTTTAAATTAATTTGTAATTGAAAAAGCTACAAGATAACATACCATTTTATCTACGACTAAGTAATCATTATAAGTTAAAATCTGTGCTGATGTTTTGTATTCTAATACTGTCGCGTTTTTCATGCATGGCCCGGCCTCTAAATATTATTTGCGGCATTTTGTTTGGGGCCATTTTATTCCTTATAGTCAATTTCTATTTTTCTTTTTACGTTGGTACCTCTAAATTTGTACACGAGTGTATAGTCCAAATTAATTAGTTAAAGTGATAGTTAATAAAATAGGCTATTTGTAGTGATGACCGCATTCCAGCCAATAGCTCGATTCATCAGTCAAATGATCATAACATATTTTAATTGTACGAAATTAATGCAGATAGATTGAAACTAGGACCTATCGAAACACATGTACGCACACTAGTATACGCCTACTATATTGACAATTGTGTCAATTAAATGAACCTTTCCTCAAATATTAATAGAAAAAAATAACACTCATGTCCGCAACCCAGTAAGTCACTACATGGATATCTAAAAATTTATTAAAATAACGAGGAATAAAACCTCGCATTTTATAATCAATCTCACGGTAAAAGCAACAGGCGTTCATAATATAAAGAACTACGATAAAGATTTTACAAGTAATAAACTAAATTCAAAGTTAACTTACAAGCAAATTCTATATAGTTCGCCTGACTCCTTATCCTTCCCCGACTATTCCAGGCGTAACATTCACAGCTGTAGCGACCGCCGAAGTACTCGTCTAATTCATTCCTTGTCACGTTCAGTTCCGCCTCCACCACACGCACGCCGTTCTGAGGGTCGACGTGCTCCAACTGTACTGTCTTATCCACTCTGACGTCATTACATTTGAAATAAACCTGCAAAGCATTCGCTGCCCTACACAGTAGCGTTGCTGGCTTACTTCTTAATACGTAAGAGTTCTTTGGTTCTAGAAGGAAGATCGGTAGACCGTCGATTGTTTCGTCGTTTTCTGGTAGCGGTATGTAATCATCTTCCTCTACCTCTGGTTTAAAGTCGGAAAGGTAAGGGTCAAAGTTGAGCAGACCGTCCGGATGGATGTATTCGGGTCTCGTTTCCTTCTGAGTGGTGTGTTCTGGACCTGTGAACAAAGATTATTTTTTAATACTTCAAAATACTAAGTTGATATTTGAAGAATCTTTTTTTAATTTTAATTAAAATAGTGCAGTTTAAATGAATAATCTTACTAATCTTAATTTTTACTATTAATATAAATGCGAATGTTTGAATGGATGGATGTTTCTTTAAAGATATCTCCAGAATCGCTGTATGGATCTAGCTGAAATTTGGCATCGATGTAGAACATAGCTTGGGTGAACTCATAGGCTTACTGTAATGACTAGCTACTTATAAAGTTATTTTTTATTCTGCACGGACGGAGACGCTGGCTACAGCTAGTTATCTATAAACTGTCTTAAATACTAAAAGCTCGAGACTATAGTACTCAATTATTCAACAGTAATCAGCTGCTGATTAGCCTTTTAAATTGCTTAATAAACGATATCCGTTCAAATTGTCTGCCACTAATTGGCATAAATAAATGTTTTATACATCCAACTGTCGCAGTTTGACCTTTAAAGGTCTCAAATGCAACTCAGCTAAGAACTTAACGCGACGTGCGTTACAGATAATAATTACATATAATTATTGTACAAGCAATGCGTTAAAATATTGAAATTTTCTCTGACAACTCTTCCTATATCAAAATATAGCTGTCGCCCGCGACTCTATCCGCGAGAAGTTAAAAAAACAGCGTAATTAGTAGCCTACATGTTCTTCTAGACTAGACTTCTATATGTAAGCCAAATTTCATCGCTACCTGTTCAGTCGTTCTAGAGATACCTTCAAACAAACATCCATCCATCTAAAAATTCATATTTATAATATTAGTAAGAAGTAAGATAAGATGTGATGTCACGGCAGTGCTATGACGAAACGAATAATAGATGATGAACTATACATTTGATACAAATACGTTGACAACACTAAATCCTCAGAGAGTAAGGAATCAGATATTTTCTACAGTTAGAACATTTATTATATGTTATGAAAATAACGTATAATTCTGGAAAGGTTAAGACCACCCGGTAGTACGGACAGACAGGAAACAGTTAACAGAGGATTTAAAAGCTATATCTTTAATGAAGCAAACAACTATTAGATTAATCTGAATGTCTCCGTCTTACTGCTAGATCCGACGATGACTTTCATATGACAAGCGGGATATGACTATTTTTGATATAAAAGTTGGAAGAAAAAAAAGAAACAGTTGTTCATTTTTTGCAAAATGTCTTAAGCTCTTAAATATGTTAATATTTTATGATTTTTGAACGTAGCCGTGGGTTTTCATTTCAAAAGTAATATGCGTATTATGTACTATCAATGTGTTTTATAACAAATTTGTCCTCAGTGGAAACGATAACTAAATGTTAAATCTCACAATGAGATAGTGTTTTAAAATCAAACACAGTGTTATTAAATTGACCTTTCGTTCGTTAGTTAAATTCTCTACATAAGATATTCATAATACTATCATGTTATTAAAATCATGTTGTTTTGCTTAGTCGTATGTCTAGACTGCGACATCGGTAGAACTTCCATGTAAGTCTAGAATTGTTGCCTGTCTGTTAATTTGAAGGATCTCTTTATGAACGCATTAACAGGTAAATATAATCTCAAATATTTGTGAAAGCATTTACAATTAACAGAGCTTTTTTCATGTGTACATACGTTACCATTTGCATGTTTATAAAACAAATAAGAACAATTTAGCGGCAGCCATGTTTTAGCTTGGAATTAATAACCTAGGTAAAGGCTAATATGATAAATGGAATGTGGAAAAGAGATGAAAGTTTATGTCCTAAGCAGTTCACCATTATGTGCACATAAAAACCTTTGATTAAATTACGTGGGGGCACTAGGCTATTTTACACCCTTCCTAATGGTCAGGGTTACGACTTACAATCAAATTAAAGGTCTAATAATCTCGGTGAAATGAGAATAGCCCTTTATAAATCCTGATATAAAAGGATCAGGAAATCTTTGACTGTTTTGACTTAGGTTTGTTTATTTATTTTTAACAGTTATTGTTTTACTTTTTAGATACATTTTTGAGATAATTGTATAAAGTCTTATTTTTAAAATTAATTGATTCCTTACCTCCATTTCTCACTTTCCCAACGAACGAAACAATCAAAAGAACAGTCGCAAAAATGTTTATTTCAAAGCACATCACTATTTTATTCACTTAAAAATGGCGCCGAAATTTTCACAAAACTAATTGTAGTATTTACATTTGCACTAATGTCTTGTTATTCACTGACATTTTATAATATTTATGTTACAGAAGTACTTCGACCCGTTACATCGCTTTCGAATGCATGGAGCATAAAGAACACCCTCTTCCTTCGAGCGTCGGTGCCAAACTGCCGGCCGGCTTTTATTTTACACAACATCGAAAATCAACACCATGTTATTTTTCTATGTGTGCCATGTTACGGGAACACGTGTGTGATGAGTCCCACTCGATAATAATGGTGTAATTAAAGAGCTTTTTAACTTTAATTAACTGCTTCTACGTTTCATTGTATTGTGAAAAGAGCGTGTGAACCATACGGAGTATTGATTCGAAAAAAGTTGAGTTACTTAAATTCATATAGCGCTTATAACAGTTCATAATTCAAGAAAGCAAAAAAATATTTCCTGCTTTTAATTTTTAAGATACAAATGTAAGAAATAAATAGTAGGTACCTTTTACAATATAACTATCGATAACGGATTGTTGACTATGTATTACAATTTTTTTATAACGCGATAACCTTTTTCAATGTGGGTGATTGTCAACATTTAGATTAGCTACAAACTCTTTGATTAGAATTAAGAAAAAACAATAAGGCGATTTAATTTTAACGCCTTTTGCGTCTATTTTAACTTTACGATATTACTAGCGACATCTCTTATCATGTGTGGAAGTTAAAAACATTAAATGTGGCAGTAATGTTTCCGTAGTTCAACAGATGTCGTTGCTCACAATTATTGGAACACAGTACTCAATATTTTAGATGGCGCAAAATTGCAAAACCACTAGAGCCATCTAGTAAGTAAGCAAGGAACTATAATATTTTAAAGATTCATTTCAATGTTTTGATTCTGCAACACAAGATGGCTCTGGACGCCAATGACGTTATATTACAAAATTTCTTGTGTTATGCAGTAGATGTCAGCTTTTAGGAAGTTGTTGAAAGTCGTGTTCGGCAAAACGTGGCGGCGGATATAGGAAACGCATGGGTTGAAATGACCCCAGACCAAGCGTAGAGCATAGATAAAAGCGAGATGGCGGTGCACTTCGGTTGCCCTCTGTCCCACTATGAGTACTTAGTTGAAATCAGGCAATAGATGTCACTAAATTTGTTTAACTAAAATTAAACATAATATGTAGGTTAAAACTCAATTTATGTGGTGAACATTTGATTTAAGTTCCATTTTATGTTGGGATGGCTTCGTATTTGGAAAATGGGAGCGACAAATCTGAAGTAAAATATTTTAGCGTTACCACACAACTCTTATTCAACTTCAAAAACCAACAAAATAGTAAATGAAAAGACGAACTGATAAGATTAATAATTAGCTCATTTTATTGTATCTAAGAGTTATTTGACTTAAGTTGTCAGTTTTCATATTTATTTTTCATCGTTTGCAAACAAAATTCTGCATTCGACTAAAGAAAACAAAAGACCGGAATACATCTACATATAAATATAAAGTTATATTCGCTCGTTAGAAATGCTTCAGAAGAGTGAAGTTTGAACGAAAAATAAAAAGAACATTAGAATATTATTTGGCAAACTCAAACACATCGGCAATTTTTACAATTTTCATTGATTGCAACCTTTAAAGGCTCATTATACATGAAAATCTCGAGCGGAAAGGCGAGCCGACCCGACAAATTTGAATTTCCGTACCTCGAGTGTGAAAGAGATGCAATGACACTTTTTACTAGACACACGAAAGAGATGGATGCGTAACAAAACAGTAAGGTTGTTTTCACAGTTACTTTCAACTTTTTATTTATAACACAATAAGACAAAAGATATTTAATAAATTACTATAATATTACTATTTCAAACATATAACAAAAACTTATAATATTATAGACTAAGAATAAAAACATTTCCTCACATTTGGTTACTGACATCAAAATCTTCGAATAAAACATATCGTCATCCCTGTCATTATCTTTGAAAAAAACAGAGATAACAATATACTTTAAACGGGGTTTTTTCGAAAAGTCACGATTAGCAATTTATAAATTTGATAAAACTGTCGCAAGTAAAATCAGATGCAAGGACTCGGGCAACTTTGCAGTCAGCAAACTACAACAACCCATGCCTTACACAAAACGTACGTATATCGCCGCCTTACAAATTGAAGTGACGATTTGGGCTACTTACATATTTTGCACCATCAAAAGGAATCGTTCTATTCCGAATAATTTTGAATCGAAAATAGAAAATACGCTTTGACGCCGAATGCCTTTTGTGCAATCAATATTCAATGTTGGTTCTCAGAACGCCATCTTTGAATTCTGAATCTATCATTCCTACGTAACGAACAAAGTGGCTGAGGTAAGTTTTATATTAGTGTGTACACACAGACCTACACTAAGGAACCATAGCCACCTAGATGTTATGAGTAAAAGTTCTGAACGTTGAAACAGCGGACCTTCGAGCTACGTGTAACATCCAAGAGATACCAATACAAATGCTACTATGTGTGTGTTCTATTTATGTGGAGCAATTTTAACTTTATAACAAACACACACACAGACTTACACTAACACTTTATATAGACAATAAATGATATTGTCAGCCAGTGACCTGTGCACCAGAGTAACAACAGTAGAGTCGTTGTTCTTATATTTATTGTCTCCCACAAATAAAAAGAACAAACACCTGATAAGTAATTGATGTGGTTAGTCTGACCGCTTGAAATGTACAAACTTGAGCAAATCTGTATTGCGAGGGGCGGGGGGTGCGGCCCGGACTAACGTGCGGACACTTACCAAAAGCGGATCCGTTGCCGCTGACCACAACAAAGACATTTACACCAAATGACTAAAATATCAAGCATACTTGAAAATTGAATAAACGTGTTATTTTTGTTTTTATTTAAAGATTAAATGAAGTATTCCAATATCGTGTGCAGGACAAAAAAAATCTAAAATCTTTTTGAATTTGACCCGATTTCTTCGCCATATCAGGATTGTCGTTAACAAAGTCATTCGAGGTTTCGGGTCTTCGTTTATTGAAACTTGT